ATGTCATAGATCATCGTTGGTACATAGGAGGGATCAAGACCTGGTTTGTGCAGCTCCACTATCAACCATAATGTTATAGTTACAGAAAATGAATTTCATACAAGGATAAACTTGCTCTAGCTATTAAGGACAAGGTCCTGATTTAAATTATCCAAATGATTAAAATTGTGGGTAATCATCAAGTTTTGGTCAGAAAACTGTTTGATAATGTTTTAGTTAAGGTGCAAACTAGCTCTAGCAAACTCTCATTAATGTATTCTTTTGTTAGATTAATGCATTTGTACATGATCCCTGTTAAATAAACTTATTGGTTGGTTACTTATTGGTTTCTTGTTCAAATTAAATGTTTTTGTATTTGTATCTGTCTATGCTTTTGTGAATTTAAATTTCTAAAAATACATGTCTTTGTTGTTGTGCAGGGAGCATGACCATACTTCCTACAGTGCTCTTTCTCATCACTGGAGTCCTGAAGGAGACCGCTCTGAAAACTGCAGACAACTCTGTGCCCGCTCCCGTTTCTGCAGCGCTACAGGCCATCAAAACCATCATCACCTCCCCCCTGGCCCGCGAGGAGACCATCAAGACGCAGTGGACCACCCTTGTGAGGAGTAGCCTGGCCTCTGTGCTAGAATACTCACAACCCGGTTAGTACAGAGACGGATGTTAAATTCTTCGATATGTTAATTTCATACTCGGAAATAGGAGCCAGGATTTCTGTATGGATTATTATGGACCGTCATTGCAATTATCCAAACTGTTTCATTATTTCAGAACAAATATCTAAACAGTAAACTATATATATTTGTATTACAAGTTAGAATGTTGTAATTTAAACGAAGCTCCTCATTCTGTTTCAGTGTTTGAGCAGGTGTTAGAATTGTGCCCTGCTAGCGTTTTATGCAGTTTTTTTTGTTGCCCAGATGTATTATGTTATACCACAAGAAATATACAGGTGTGTTGCAGAGTAATTTATAAAGACTTGGTTAAACTTAATTTATACACTAGAGAAATTACTTAAGTAAACATTAAAATACAAATGTAATTTGTAAAGACAAGAAAAAAAAACTTTGACCATAGCAATTTTACCTACATGCCTGTAAAAAAAATGTCAATCTCATTTGAAGTCCAATATGGCTGAAAGGACTCTTCTTTCTAAGCAAATTGAACTTCTGAGCTGATGCAAATGTGTGTATTTGTTTAGATGATTCCCGGCCTGACATGGACGACGTCAGCATGTTGACAGCGATCACTCTGTTTCTGCTCTCTGCGGGCAGTGAACTTGTGGGTGTGACCGTGCTGCAGAAGGGCTGTATGGACCGGTACAGGAATGCACTTAACTCTGGGGATCCCTGGGTAAGCATCTGCAATCTAGCAAACACCACTTATAGCCCCTCTTAAGTATAGATTATGAATTAGTGTAAGCATTATCTATAAAAAAAAAAAAGTTCTGTCTGCCCCCATCTGCATTAAAATGATTGGCCTATCATCATCATCATCATCATCATGTTGTGATGTCATCTCATACCTAGTAATTTGTTCAGATTAATTCAACACAAAATATTGCTAAGCTCTGTGAGGTAATTAATTTGTTTGACTTGTGACTACATTTAACTAAACACTTAGCCTCATCTGAGTTTTAATTAATTATTTGTAAATGAAATGGATAAGACACTGTGGATATAATTTATATATGGTTTATTATACAATATAATAGATTATTACAGAGCATTATGTTTACTAAATTTGTTTCTTAAAAAAAGGATCCTGTCTATTACTTTAATTACTTGGTTCTGTTATGCAAAACAAACTATATTTCTCCTCTTCTTTCAGTTGGAGGCCCGGTGTTATCAGCTGCTCCTGTCCGTGTTTCAGCATTGCAGTCGCGCCCTCTCCACTCCGTACATTCATGCTCTGGCTCCGATCCTGGTGGAAAAGCTGAAGTCGGTGGAAACCGATCGACCTAAGACCAATGTAGAGCTGCAGGCTATACAGGAGGGCATCAGAGTCCTGGAGACGCTAGTCGGCATGGGGGAGGAACAAAACAGTAAGTGTACCTTTGCTATGCATTGCAATTGACAATTGATTATATTGAAAATGATTATGATCTTTGCTGAAAGGTTCGCAAAAATATCAGCTATAAAGGAAGCTTAAACCCAGGAGTACAACACTGAATGTAGCATCGTTTTATTCATAAAATCTATAAAAGGACTGAACATTTTTTGTGTTTTCTGTTTTTTGTGACAGTCGTAGTAAGTAGAATTCTATTTATGGCTCACAATTTGAACACATCCAAGAGCATTAACAACTGAGGGAAGTGTGAAACATTTAAAGCTAAACTATCACAAGAATCTCATGCTTTGCAGTTTCTATCAGTCTATCTTACTTGGGTTGTATATTTTTGCATAAGAAATAACTGCAGCCTTTGTAGCAATTGTGATGAATTGGATTTAGGCGAAAATATAACTGGTATTGTGTAGATATCCTCTTTGACTTAGTTCAATAGAATTAAATAAGAGCTGTCAAAACAAGATGACCTACATTCAATTGAGGTTGTTTTTTCACATTTTAATTTAAGTACTTAACCAATACAAAAATCACATGTGTTTCAGAACATGTTTGTTGAGATCTAAACTACAATATCAGTAGTTTTTTTTTTTTATTAACAAGACCCAATTAAGACTTTTGAATAATTGAATATTTTTAATAAATGTGAGACACAGCTTTTATGCTTGATAATAAATCTCTTATAATTTGTTCCACGGATTAGACTCTTACACGTGTATTTCTTGAAATGGTTTTAAAGGTCATACCGCCTTCCTTTCTTTGTTTTAATCTATTAATTGTTATAGCTGGCTGGACTGAGCTTATGCATCGTGTCAGATAATCCTTGACATTGTCCTCTAAAAATACATGCATATGAGTAATCTTGTCTAAGAAGATTATTTAGACATTGAACGTCTGACATGAAGCCTTTCTTGGCCTTATTCCTGGTGAGCCTCTTATCTGAAGGAAATAAATATACCTTGAAGACTTGTATTTTTATCCATTAATACTAGCACATTTGTTATACATCAGCAGTGTTCATGTTTTTTACTTTGGTGACAAAGAATCATTGATGACTATTATTCATATGAGGGCACGCAATGTCTAAACCTCTTGCTCATTTATCTCGAGTTGAAGACTAAGTCATGCATTTGTTATAAATGCTGTTGTTGACTAAATAAATTAGTCTTGCCTTGTGCAGTGGCAGTGGCAAACTGACCATATAACTGGCACAAATTGCCAGTTTTAGTAGAGAACTGTTACTAAACTGCATATTTGTTCAAATAAAGTCATAATTTGCGTCTGAAGCTCCAGCAGACTGCGTGCCTTCTCCTTACTGTTGGAGTCTGTCTGATTCCTTGCTGTCTCAATAATAACATTTGATAATTTAGTTGACAAGAAGTGACTGAATGCCTACAGCCCTATGTGTGGTAAATAGGAGAAAACGACAGAAAGACTCATTTTCTACATCAGCTAAGTAATTAATAGATGGCATATAATATCCATTAAAGACTTCACTGACTTGAGAGGTTCTTGGATTCAAGTTACTTATATACATAAATCAAATAACCAATAAATCAAATTTGGCAATATAAGTGAATGGTCCACCGCAACAGTTTTACCAAACTACTTGTTTTTTTGTTTTGTTTTGTTTTGTTTTTACAGGGGTCCAGTTATTGGCTCTCCTCGTCCCGACCCTTATCTCTTACCTCTTGGATGAAAAGGCAATCTCCTCCGCACCACCGGTCTCTAAAGGTCTTCACGAGTTTGCACTTCAAAACTTGATGCGTATCGGACCCCTGTACCCAGCCGCCTTCAAGATCGTCATTGGTGCCGCTCCAGAGCTCAAAACTCGCCTTGAATCTGCCATAAGGGCCAACCAAGCCAGTAGTAAAGCCAAGGCTGCAGCAAGACAAGCCCAACCTACTGTACAGGCTGCACCAACCATAAAACTAAAAACTAGCTTCTTCTAAGGACTGGTAAAATATGCTGAGCAAGGTTAACATTTAATTTTAATGTAACAGGATGTCATATCTGTCATTTACTGTTGTGTTTTTATTTATACGATTACACATTTTACATAGTTCTGATTTTTAATTTTTTATTTTTTTTTGTAAATAGTGCTCTTTATTTGAATGTTAAATCATGCTGCTGAATTAATGGATGTAATTTTCAGACAAATACAGACTATGTGAAGGGACCATTTTTGAATTATTTTCTTTTTATTTAGATTCTTTTATTTAGCATTCCTTGTCTTCAGTTGGTTTCCTTATCCTATGATAAGTTATTATGGCCATGTATATAATTGTGAAATACTTCATAGATCATATCAGGAGTACATGTTTGCATTGTTTTATTGCATACAAAAACCTTATGGGTTTAACAGAAAGAGCCTGTCTCATTTTAAGCAGATGTTGCCATTAAATTATATCTGAAACTAAAATTGTATTATTAACATGAATGAAAACTTCTAAGAACAAAACACAAGAGCATTAGTGTTCTACATTTTCATCTCGGACATAAATTGTCCATGAGTGCGTTTGATTTAACTGCTTGTGAAGTGATCTGCACACATAATAAATTATTTTATTTGAATTGTATGTGTCTGTGTGCTGATTGAAAAACAAAGCAGAATCTTGAATACTAAGAAAGGAAAAGCCTACTATAGATAAAACAATTCATACATTCATTTCAGAGCATGCATGTTTCTGCATAAACTGGACATTTTTATGCGGTTAATCAAGAAGCACCGCATGACTGGGAAGGTCATGTCTGAACCATGAATGTGACTAAGTGTTTACATTTTGTGTCTGTCAAATAGGATGATAGACATGTTTGTTATGAGTCCAGTGGTTATTTATCAAATTTTTGTGAGCTGTGCGGACTCATGAATCGAGCGCACCCGTCGGCACGCTGTGGGCGTGGCCGCGCGCTGACGTCACTCGGTGACAGCTCGCTGTCAGAAGTGAGTTCATTCTCGAGGAGACGGAGCGCCGTGATCAGGCTCAAGCGCTTCCTTTGGTATCAGCGCTAAAAATCAGCGATACAACGGAGAGAGCGTACCCGCGAGCCCGGCCATGGACGAACAGGCGGGCCCCGGTGTGTTCTTCAACAACAATAACAACTCCGTTTTACCCGGCGCTGGGAAAGGACCGCTGCCCGATGGCGACGCAGGGGAGGCGGCCAGGGCGCAGTACAGTATCCCGGGGATCTTGCACTTCCTGCAGCACGAATGGGCCCGCTTCGAAGTAGAGAGGGCACAATGGGAGATGGAGAGAGCCGAACTACAGGTAAAACATTGCATTTATTGTGCGGATGGTTACGTTTAGTGGGGATAACGGGACGTATGTGCGTGGCTTTGTGAATAGTCGCTTCTAGAGGCTCTGTCTGATTGTTCTGGTGTTAGCTTCTTAGCGTTAGCTTCTGTGCTAAAGCAGCTGCAGCGCCCCCATGACCCGACTTCTCGACGACTATTTGCTTCTTTTACCACGTCTTAAACGAGAAAAGCGGCACATCTGTATTTCTGTTTGCCTGGACACTCTTGCAAAAATAGATTCGCGTGATGGATAATTGTTTATTGAAACTAATCCCGTAAAGTGCATTGCGTTGTTGACAGTGTGCTGGGAAGACGCATTGACTGGGAGCATCGTACTTATGTGGTAGTAGTAAACCAACTAGATGCCTTTACGTAATTATGTTTAAATTATGTTAAAAATCTCTTAAACATTCCCATAATTGCTACAAAATTACACTTATTAATGAAGCTACTACGCACTCAGTTTGTGTTATTACGAAGAGGGTTAGCTGTAGCTGCCATGTCACTGCCACTGCTGAAGTCACCCACCAAAATGTTTGCCACTGTCAACCTGTTTGAGACAGACCACTAGGTTTATTGGCCCACCATCTTAGAGAGAGCTTTATGGCTTTGTACCAGCAAGTCATCTGATGAGCTGCATTTTGTCTTTCCTGGTAGTGATCCAAGATTTTCCAATGCGTAATGTAAGGGCAATGGGAGATAGAGCTAAGGCACTTAATCACTCATCGCATCTCTCTTGGAGTTCATTGTAATCTTATATCTCATTAAGTTTTAGAAAAATTTAGTTGAGTATGTAACTTTATTGCTGTGCTGTGATATCGACCATTTACCTCAAGTGCAATGTAGTATGCATGGTTATCTATTATCATCATGTGAGATAGTTGGAAGTATTTTTGAAGTAACATTTCATTGTTGTATACACATTTTCAGGTGCTTTTATTATTCAACTATTATTTATTTGCAGCTTTGAAATTAATCTCTTCATATCTTATTTTGCTCTCACGTTTGGACTCGATGCGTGAACTTATGGTCCCTTGTTTCCAGTCTACTCTCTGACCTCATCCAACAAAGAGATGAGGAGGAAGTCTCTAGTAGTGTCCATTGTAGTAGGCTTTGGCTCATTGACTCTGGTGTGCTCTGTCTCTGCTACTGTACTGTTCTTCCTGTCTGCAGTCTATCATAAAGAACGCTTATCAGAAAGCACCAGCATCTGTGGTAAGGCGCACTCAGGTCGCTAAAAGACTTCTGCGGTGGTTAGTTTGTGGCGGCAAAACTGTGAGCGCAAAATTTGAGTTGGAGGTTATGCTGACGTGAAATAAAAAGGTGTTCCAAGACTGACTATGTTACAACTTTGTGTTCACTATCCACTGTACTCAGAGATTTCTGAATATATGTGCAGTTAAATGCAATATAAACAAATAAATTAAACTGCATAAAGGTCTCAAGTATGGATGTTTAATGTTGGAAAATAATGGATAGTGATACAGTAAAAAGTTTGTAAAATAAATCTAAAGAATATTAAGTTATTAGTGCCACATGTAATTTTTTATAAAGTCTTTAAAAATTTTACTTTTTGAGGTTTAACTTTATGCAGCTGTGATGAAATATGTTGCTGGAACAGTCACATTTTCTTTTTTGTTTACAATTTTCTCTCTTCTCTACAACTATGTGAAACTCGCAGCTCTGATGAATGTATTTTGTCACCTTGTAATGAATAACCTTGAAGGATTTGCTAAAGGTGTGACAGTACATGGATCATTTTGTATGGAATGCCATCTTCACTGACAAGTACAAGTAGGAGATAACTAAGGCTGCAGTATTTTTCCCATATATTGCACATCAAAATATCTGCTAAAGCCCACAGTTGACTTTAAAAGAAAGTTCCCCAAATACATTTAAACATTACACAAGAAAAGAGCATTGAAAGTAGTTGTATTATATTAATAGTAAACAATCAAACATTACTACCCAAAGCATTAATCAGCACCTACTGGCTGGACCCTAATAAAAAATAAAGACAAAGATGATTCAGTTTTAGTTAATTTCATAGTCTTTCTAATAGATTGCTACAGAGATATATTGCAGTAAACAATAGTTTTGATTCCATTACCACATTGACAATAATGCAGGATAATCTTATGGGATTAATAATAAATTCTGCTATTTATTAAAAATAAATAGCAGAATTATGCCATAGAACTTTTGCAATCCATTACAACTCAAATCTTGTCAAAATCTGTGTAAAAATGTGTAAATATTAAGGCAAAAATATGTATTCTTCCATCTATCATATTGAACAATAAGTTGATATAGTAATTATCTTGACAGACTTATTTGTATTCATCCTTTTACAGAATAGTTGAGATGGCAGATGTGGGAGAATAGTAATGAACTGTCCAACCTCTGCAATGGAGACCTTTTATGTAGTAAAGTAGTAAAAAATTCAGATTAACAATATGAAATGGCATTTGGCTGCAATGTAATGTGTGCAGATCCATATCTAATGCATACCAACTTAGTTACGTATGTTGTTGGTGTAAGCAATTGTATTACATGACTAGTATCTAGCGTTGACAAGTGCACCCAAAACATTATCTGTCAAACGTTTACTACTGTGTATCTATGGTGTGGATTTATCACTGTAAATGCTATATTTCCTGTAGATTAGGTGTCATAATGTGAACCATCATTTAAATTTGCTTCTACTATCTGTAGCCTTGTTTATCAGATTATTATCGAAGCATTATCAAAAGCTCTATAGAAACGCATTGTCACTTCCACACCTTTATACCTGCTGTGACTGTTTTAGGCAAACCCAGGAATGTTGTCTGTCCAGATAGTTCGTGCACAGCCACTCCTCTGATTGGTTAATAACATTAATAACTTATGTAAAGGCCCTGTCAACTGTGATTAGAGTACGTCATTGATTGGCTCAATTTAACTCAAAATAGCTCAGTATCTTTCAATATACTTTAGGTTGCTTTTATACTTTTATACACAAAACAAATTTAGGAATAACCTGGGACTGAACCTGCAATCAAATCAGGAATAGACTAGGACTAGACTAAATCTGGATAACTGAATGCACTCTTACTGAAGATAATCTAATACGTTCTTTTTGCACGTTTATTCTCTGTCATAATAATTTGTAAATCGTGTAAATCGACTTCCATCAAACTTTTCAAATGTAAATGTTCAATCTATTATCACTGTTCTTTTTTGTTTTTTACTAGTGTTTGTAATATTTCAGTCTGTTTATTATTGTACAATTGCATTGCCATGACCAAAAAACTTCCCATGTGGGTTGGTAAAGTTTGTGTAGTTCAAGATTATGGAGACTAAAATCTGTCCATACCCACTTAATGATGACTTGCCTCTCTTATGGGTCAAAATACCCATAAATCCTCAATTATTAGATCAACATGATTTAAAGTTCAGGTAAATGTTAAATTAGGTTAAGGTTAGGTTTTAGGTAAAGATTAAGTGTAGCCAAGCAGTGAATATGTTTAAGGTTATAAAGATGCCTCTAGGATATGAATATAAGTGAATGTAATGGCCCAAAAAAAGCATGGGAAAGTAACGCGTGTGTCACTGTGTGCCTCTGTGTGTGTGTGTCTGTGTGCATGGTGCTGCGTGCTCTGCTCCTGTCCCCTGTGCCCCTGTGCCTTTGTGCCTCTGGTCCTGGGGAAATCCCTGCTCGGCCGGTGTCCTCTTGCTGAAGGCTTGTGTCAGCAGCAGCAGTAGCACCATCCTGAACCTGACACCAGGAGAGGAGGAACGTGACGCGGGGCTCAAACACTCACGCCTTATTCTGGGAACACAAGCGAGACGCGATTGTTTAACGATTGACTGATTTGTTCAACCAGTGCTGCCTCGCAGAGCAATAACCCTCTGGTCCAAATGAAGTGTAAGGTTTTATTTTTGTCATATTAAATGTTCAAACTAAATTTTGATGCTATAGTGAAAAGTCTTGATGCTCTATTTCTATTTCAATACCACCATGATGATTCAGAATCCTTTTTTTAGCCAATAGATTTCTTTAACACAATGATAGTAGTTCCTTACTTACTATGATGTCCATAGTTCCACTTAAGGAAACTATTCTAAAACTATACAAGAAGGCAAAATGTTCTTATGACTGTACTGACTTGTTCAAAGATGCCTTGAAAGATTGCATTTTTATTGTGAGTGTCCTGTACCTTGGTAACCTCTTGGCATCACTTACAGATAGACAAGTTTAATGCCATATTGTGGGACATGCCAGACACAGCAAAAACATGTCCATGAAGATAAGCAGCGGCCAAATCCTAAACTAGAATAGCTCTTAATCTTTGAAAAGTTGAAGCTTTTCCAAAATATTGCAGGTTACAAGTCAAGAATATTCAATACACTACTTATTATTACGTATGTCTTGTTTTCCTCTGCTCTTCCCCAAATGCCATCCAGCGCTACCCTTGGAGCAGCTAACATTACTTTAACCTCATTACAATGACTCAGGGTATGTTGAATTTACTTAAGGCACAGATTGTTGAACTCCGCAGAGCCTTAAGGACCAAACCATGCGCAAACATTGTGGTGTGGTTGGAGTCTTGCAAAAAAGGGTGTCGCCATCATTCCTCGGCACATCCACCCCCGGGCTGCAGTTATTTCTGTTTGCCCGCCTCGTGTGCTGCAGAGAGGATACAGGCTCAATGTTGGTGCCCCCGGGAGTCAACATAGAAATGACAAATGTTTGAAGAGCAATCCATTTTAAAGGTACACTAACAAGTATGTGTGTGGATGTTAATGTCAGTATAACCACCAATGGCAACTGTTTCTGCTGTTTGAGTGATTAGACTAAGTAAGCATCATTGGAAGATGTCACTTTAACTGCGGTACATGTAGTGTTAAGTGTCCCAGTATTGTTTGTTTACTTTTACAGATAAATTTGACTTTGTAAATGGATTGGTCTACTTTTTTACTCTTCATTTTATA